ATCCGTTTAGGCAGGGGAACATCAGGCTTCCTGTTAGGCCTTTCTTGAAGCAAACATATCGCTCTGTTGTTGTAGGAGGCAACGCTGACGGCTCACACCGTTGCCTGACGGTAGATTAAGGCGGATCTGATTGAAATCAAACTGATTTAAATCACAATTTAAGTTTAAAAACTAGAATTTTTTTGACCATTTCAATTTGATTTCAATGTAACCCAATTTGATTCTTAAAATCATTGATTTTTATCCAGTTGTAATTTGTGGGGTTAGATTTTTGGTCACCAGCTAATCTGCAACACCAAAGGACACCCCACTAGTGACACAGACACACAAGATCACCTGCTCACTAAACTTAAAGCCCAACTTAAATGACATATCCGCTGTCTAGTACTCCTAAAATCCTTTGCAAACCAGCAAGATAATAAACCACTTTTTTCCCCTCCTCTGAACGTAAGGAAACTCTAAAAGCCACAGCATTGGAAAAGTCATCTTTGGGGGGGGGGCTTTTCTAAGAACAATTATAGAGGAATTTTAGAAATAACAACAAGGAAGTTGGGCCCTCCTTGGCTTCAAAACGCAGGAAAAATGCCAAGCAGGAAGTCACCTTTCAAAACAACAGCTGCTTTGTTTTGAGTAGCTCTTCCACTCCACCCGGCTGGCAAATCGAAATCTTGGCCGGCCAGCACCCACTGGCCTCGAAGGAAGTGAAACGTACCTGCTTAGGATTATGATGCAAACATTCTTTTACGGAACACAGCTATGGGGTAAACAGAGTTTCGGGAGACCCCGGGAAAGCAATCAGAACAGGCTCTTGTACATTACGGCAAGCTTTCGGGTCAGACAGAACTCTTCCATCAGAAAGACGTTCAGTGACGCTCAAAAGCCTGCACGTCCCTTTTGCTTTTCATCTTAATTTTCCAGCCACTTATTCCTTGCATCTGGGTCAGCCCAGGAGGGGGAAATATTATTTCCAGAAGGAAATCCCAAGTTTGAAGAGGGAGGGTGGCGAAAAGGTAAAATTCCAGGGAACGGGCATCTGTGAAACAACAGTGAAGAATCTGATGCTCTCCAGATGTTGACTAATTTTCTATCGTTTTCTACCACCATTGAGGCTGGTCAGGGGCTGATGGAAACATCTGGAGGGCCACGCCAATTCTTCAGCCTAGTCTGAACAAGACATTACCACAATCTGAACACCGTCCCGATTGAGATGGCCTCAGGGGCTGATGGAAACATCTGGAGGGCCAGGCCAATTCTTCAGCCTAGTCCGAACAAGAGGTTACCACAATCTGAACATCTTCCAATTGAGGTGGCACACACACAAACACACACACACACACACACACACACACACACACACACACACACACACACACACACACACGATCCTCGCCCCAGCCTGCACATTCCAGCTGCTTAGCCGGCCGTTTTGCAATTCTTAGCATGACTGCATTTGCAATTTTAAGACTCCCTCCTTTTGCTGCTGGTTTTTCTGCTGTGACATCCACTCTTGAGCGGGGGGAATCACTCCATCTAACACTCCACGGTCTAATTGTTTTTTTAAAAGAGGAGATCAAGCTAAATTCCTCATCTAAGTTGTGACACAAAATGGTTGTAGGCATCTGAAACGTTCTGCTATGTAAACAGGATCACACCCTTTCCATACCTTAGAAAGCTGTTGTTGGTTCAAACACACTATGCAGAGTGAGGTGGACAAAAACACATTTATGTTCTTGGTGTTAAATCCACTGGAAAGTATCCCCACAATTCACTATGTCTGGACCTGTTTTTGCTAACCTTGATCAAAATCAGTATCCCACCTTCCTAAAAAAACAACGATACAGTATTTCATTCTCACATCATCTGTCCTTAATGTCAGTTATTTCTCCCATTTTGTGCACAATGGCAAGCTTTGGGATAACACTGAACACTTCATCAGAATGACAAAAAGAGTTCTGTCTCACTCAAAAGCTTGCACATTCCTTTTGCTTCCCATCTTAATTCTTGCAACTGTACCTTTATTTACTATTCAGCCATTGTCTTTATTTACACAGCTGGGGGGGATTTATAGCCCACCTTGTCCAAAGGATGGAGATTTATCGTACCATTAATCAAACAGTGTCTATTCCGAATTAAAAGGGAAAAAAAGAACAGGAAGAAATATTATCATTCCAAAACGTTCATGAACCATCCATCTGAGGAAAAAAAGGTCCCGTCTTTCTGTTGCCGCCATTTGACTTCCAAATTACAGCAGCCTTAACAGGCTGCTTGAAATCCGTGAGATATTCAAGAGAGATTTGCCACTGTCCACCCCTCAATGTGTTTCCAAGGAGCTCAGCCAGAATTTGAACCCAGCACCCCCCGAGTCTAGTCCAGCACATTATCTACAAGGCCATGCTGGCTCTCCATCCACCTGCATGGACAGTTAAATCAAGAGTGATTTGCGTCCCATTCATTCCATGGGTCTACTCTAATTTCCCCTAACAACTGGATTTCGTGGAACTGGCTGCCACGCTGGCGACATCCCAAATTTTAATATTAGTTTTGAGATATTAATCCGACAATGGAGAAGCCATCTTTTCCTTTAAAAGATTCAAAGAGTGCTATGGGTGATTTTTAAAAAATATCTGTCACCCCATATGGGGTCAGGCCGACGGGACAAATCCCAATGTATTGTTGTGGATGTAACAATAGAAACGGACGGGGTGGGTATACTCTGCGCGATCTAGCGACAGGGCGTATATCGGGTGTAAATATTTTGCTCTCCAGAAGATTTAACGTGCCAAAACAGCCCTGCCTCTCCCAACCTCCTATAACACCCATTCCTGTGCCTTCGCCGATCCTCGCTAAAGCTTGTCTACTCCTGGATTAATTACCCATCTGCCACGTCAACATTCACCGCAATACCCCCCCCACTCCAAATCTGGCTACTCCTCTGTACACCTGCCTCTCCTTCCTGGTTTCTGTCCCAGCTGGTCTTCACGGAGGGCCTTCCGGTCATATTTCCCTGCTCCCTACACACACAGAGTTTTGGAAAAGGTACGTATTTTTTGCTCCATAAGACGCACCTTTCCATAAGACGCACCATTTTTTAGGAGAAGAAAACAGGAAAATATAATCTGTTTTCTTCGCTCCATAAGATGCACAGACTTTCCACCCCCCTGTTTTGTGGGGGGAAAGTGCGTCTTAAGGTGCGAAAAATACGGTATTTTTCTGGATCACAACTCCCATCGTGCTGGGAATCGGTCTATAACGTTTCTAAGTTCTGTGTTCCCCATTTCTGCAAATCAGATTTCGGCTCAAGACTGAGCACTGAATCTCAAGGTACCCCCGCTCCCCCCCCAATCGTGGACTACCCGTCAGTCTACAACAATGGGGGAGAACATGTGTGGCACACAGCGTGGGACTACAACTCCCATCCACCCTTGCCATTGCATCCTATGAAGAGGAAGGATGGGAGCTGTAGTCCGTCAGTCTTTTGGGAACACCGGTGACCCATCACCCCCTCCAACGGACTGTCAAAACACCCCAGTCCTCCCGGGCGTTTCACATTTCTGTAACACAAGAATGGAAATTCAGGATCTCTGAGGTCAACAATCCAAACTCTGAGCATGTGCAGAGCGTCTGCCTGGATCGGACCAAGTCCTACCGAGTCCAACATTTATTTCCTAACCTCTTCATTCTCTTCCCCAACTTGCTGAAGGAGGACCTCAATCTCTAGGGTGGGGCATCAAGACTTTAACCTGTAAGCTTCCCCCCACCCAAGGCAGAAATCTATCCATATTTTGTTTTAAAACATGAAAAGCGCCACCAATCTCTAAAGTGTTCCTTGGGAAACATTATTAAAAATTCCTTGCAAGGGGTTTTAGCCAAATCCGTCTGGAAATTTTCCCTCCTGTGTTCCTTAAGGAGAAGACCAATTTTTTTTTCTTTAAAAAATTAAATAAATAATTTCCTGGCAACTTGAAGACAAAGACAATCATCTAAGCAGGAGCTCCGGGTCATGCGCCCAATAAATCTGCTGGCTTTCCAGCGCAACAAGACACATCCTGCTTTTTCTGGGTAGAGAGACGAAGGCCTGGAAAAAAAAAACTGGGGGGGAAAAAACCAAGTTTTCCCCCCCAAAGCTGAACATTTCCAATTTTTTTTTACATCTCTCCTTGTGAGGGACTAGCTGCTTTGCCCTTCGTTCCTTCCAGCAGGAGAAGCACTTTGCAGAATCAGGCCCTATTTTAACCCTTAACGCAGGATCAGGCCCAATCTCCACCCCTTAGGCAGTCGGGTCCTGGTTGCGAATCCTGCCAAAGGCAGGTAGGTGGGGGGGAGGGCAACAAGGTGTGTTACCTGGGGAGGGGGGTTTCTTCTTATTTCAACATCTGGCAAACCAGCAGGCTGGGGGGGCAGCTTCTGGGTTCCCCATAATCCACCTTTGGGCCCCGATCTGTAGCGCCCCCCCCACACCTCCAACACATGCTTTTTATTCACCTGCATTTCAAATGGGGGGGTGTTCAATATGTCCTCAAGATCGTGAGAATCAAGGCACATTTTGCCCCTTTTGGCAAGGCTGATCCTCCCCCCCCTTGAAACCCCAACCTTGAGAAAATAAAGTCCATTTCCTTCCTTTTTCCCCTCCGATCCGCGTCCCAGGTTCGGATCTCACGCTTCTCCAGCACAGCCAAGAAAGCTTCAAAACCCAGGTTTCCAAATAAAATAAAAATAAAATAAAATACAGATTCACGAACCACAAAGAAGATCAGGAATGATCACAAACCAACGCAACAACACAACAACTCTTAAAGGGACATCGACCTCTTGCAGGTAGCCCACGAGGGCTCCACGGGAGGGGGGGTGCTTACTCCCGAGGAGACGGGCCGGGAGGGGGGTTTTCGCCCTTACCTGCGTTCCGGGGTGGTATAGCAAAGGAAGCTTACTCCCGAGGAGCCCTATTGGGAGTCCAAGCAAAGGTCCTTCCCCCCCACCACAACAACCCCAAGGCTGCCCACCTGTTGCGGCGGCTCCCCCTCATCATCATCATCATCCTCATCATCCTTCCGCCGGGTCTCCTCCTCCTCCTCCTCCTCCAAGGCGCGCTCCACGATCGCCCGCTGGGTTTCCCGCAGCAGGTCCAGCTCCAAGAGACCGGCCAGGCTGGCTTGGAGGCGCTCCCCGATCCGCAGCCGCTCGTGGCCCGACCAGAGGGAAGGGGGCACCGCTCTCCGGGTAGCCATGGGCGCATCGAAGAAGCCGCCCCGCCGCCGGGCTTCGCATGCGGAGGGCGAGAGGGGCAGGGAAGCCAGCCGGGCGCGTTCACACGACCTCCGGGGATCCACGCTCTCCGGGGCAGGGGATCCCCCCCCAACGGCGGGGATCGGGAGGGGGGGCAGCTGGCACGGCCCCCCAAGAGAAAAAAAAGGGGAGCTTTTGCCGCCGCGCCAAACTTCGGCCAAAGAACCCGCGAGCGAGCGAGCGCCGCGTTCAGACAAAGAGGTTAGGAGCTGAGCGCGTCACGTGGAGGAAGGTTCTATCCCCGCCCCCTTCCCCTCCCCTCCCTCCGCCCCCCGCCAGCGCCCGGCTCCTGATTGGTCGGAGCGAGGGGGCTAATTTTGCATATGCCCCTCCCTTCGAGGCAGCGAGAATCCGGGAACGAATTACTTCTGGCTGCGGTTCTTGACGTTCCTCCTATGAAATCGCCGCTCTTCTCATTTCCACCTTATTTTAAATCTTTTTTTAAATAAATACTTTTAAAATTAAAAAAAATACTTCTTACATGGCTCTCCCCCTTCCCACCTTATTTATTTAAAATATTTTTAAAACATGCTTTTAAAATAAATAATTTGTACATGCCTCTCCTTCCCACCTTATTTCCTTAAAATACTTTTTAATTTAAAAAAAATACTTTTAAAAATAATTACATTCTACGTATCTCTTCTCTTTCCCACCTTATCTAAATTACTTTTAAACTTTTTAAATAAAAATACCCCTTTAAAATAAATAAATAAATACTGTACTCTTTACACGGCTCTCCTTCCCATCTTATTTATTTACTTAAAATGCTTTTTTAAAAAAAATTAAACCCTTTCAAAATAAATAAATCCTTTTTAAATGATTCGGCTCCTTCCCACCTTATTTAAAATTCTTTTTGCCTCGTCTTGAAAAAATTAATAAATGGTTCCATCTCACATCTGGCCTTCCTCATTCCCTGCTTACAGTTAACAAAGATTCGAAGTTCATCGAACTTGACAAAAACATCAAACTCTGAAAACAGCCCGTTTCTCAAGTTCCGTTCACTTATCAGAGTTAAGAGCAGAGGTGTACAATTTCCGAAAATCTGCATTTTTTCCAGGAAAAAAACTTTTCCCCCCCCTGGAAAAAAAAAATGGACATTTGCCAAGGGTTAAGAGCCCTTGCAAGACTTTTTCCAGCTCAGCCTCCTAATTTTTTTTTTCTCAAGCGGGTTGTTAAGAATCCATTAACGTAGGGGGAAAAAATTACACCTAGTGGCGGTGCGTTCCACCGGCCCTCCTGGACCTTTGCGCGCTTCAGGACGCGTTTCCTTTATATGGCGTCGCCGCGAATCGACCACGGATAAATTTCCCTGGGGAGCCAAGGCCCTGCTCCCCCTGCCCTTCCCACCGGAACCAGGATCGAGCAATCCGGATTCGGAAAGGTTTGATGCGGATCGAGTCCTATTTAAACAGTTGCAGAGGCGGTGGGTCAGGAAATCGGACTTGGAGCGGATCCCGCCTTCTCCCCTTTTTTGTTTTTTGCACGACCAGGTCGGAAAAAGCAGTTTCCCCCCCCCTCCTCCCGAATGGATTCGTTTCTTCCCTTCAAGCACCGAAAGCCCTTCGGTAAGACTCCGTTTTCCCCGTGTAAACGCTCCGTTTGGCACCGAAGGCGGGGGCAGGTTTTCCTCCTTTGCTCTCTGCCGCCACCTGGTGGCCGAGGGAGGATAAGACAGCCACTCATTGACCCACGTGTGTTAATTTAAAAAGCTGAATTCCAAGGCCACATAGTAGGGTCGACCCAGGAGATTTTGCTGCCTGAGGCTGGGTGGGGCGGCGCTAACCCTGCACTTTTTGTGCTACTTCTTTACTATTCCACTGCTCTTTGTGTATCCATTTCTCAGAGTGGCATCCATTTTTAAAAAAAAAAGTATACTTATTGTTCTCAGCTTGAATACTGTATCTTTTATGATACAGAGAGGTCTTTATACTTTGTCCTTAACTTTAAATATTCTCTTTTAATGAAGTATATGTGCCATTTTCAACTTTAAATATTGTCTTGGGTCCTTTTCAAGGAGGAAAGTGGGGGGGGGGAAATATTTTTGAAACCAAATAGATAAAATTAAATAAATAAAATTAAAATTAATGAAATATATAAACTTCTCTTTCCTGCAGGTATCACATACCTTGCTTCTGCTTCCATCAGTCTTTCTTTAGATTTTTCTGGACACCAGATTTTTCCGGGCTGAGGGAGGTTGTAGGCCTAACAAAACGCTGACTTATTTCCTAAAACCTGCTTGCTCGTTAATCTTCCCAGTCTTAATTCACTTGTTAAACTTTCCAGACATACCTTTGTAGCAAACTTGCAGGAGATCCCTTTTTTAAAAAAAAAAAATAAGTAAAAGATTTATCAGCCGCTATTTGGAGCAAACATCTCCAGGAGGTGGCATATTTATTTACAATTTCTTTTTAATTTCAAATATCTGGGAGAGCCTCACCTTCTTCCAGCAAAGCTGTGGGTCCCCATTTTAATGTCCTGTGCTGGTTTTGGTAACATGGGAAGCTAAAAGAGATAATGGAAAATACAATATAGTACATGAAGTATAAGCAGATAAGCAAAGTGTTATAAACCTGGATTAACAGACATCTCTAAGGACTTCTTTAAAAATCAAAGCCCAGATCTTAAAAATTAATATACAGTAATGTTTTTCTTTTTCTTTTTTTCTTTTAACTCTGCCTTATTTATTTATTTATTTGATTTTTACCCTGCCCATCTGACCAATAAGACCACGCTAGGCAGCTTCCAATATAATATAAACAATAAAATAATACAAAATATTACATAAATCATACTATAAGAAATACAATACAAAGATAGAATAGAAAATAAATAAAGGGAGAATAAACAGAAAAATCAGGTATTAACTGGAAGGAAGGCCTGAATGTACAGCCATGCTTTTAATTGACTTTTTAAAGTGTGTGTTTTTGTCTTTTAATGGTGAATAAGTATATGTAAATTCTTGAAGTTTTTTTCTTGAGCACACTTATTTATTGAAAATATTTTACCCCATCTTGCCCCTTAAAAAACGGCCCAAGGCGGCTTCTGTCACTCAAAGGCAATGTTTGAAAGCTAAAAACAGCGAGGAGACAAAGATTTAAAAAATAATCGAACCAGTACTACACTAAACCATGGCAAAAAATATATATTGTGTGTCTTGTGACGAGTCAAGACACACACACCCCACTTTGGGGGAGAGTCAACGCCATCCTTTCAACATTTCTCATCTTCCAAAATTTCAAATGTTTCAAAATTTCAAAAATTCCACTGTGTCGAAAGGATCCCCCCCGTGTTGAAATTTATCAGTTTAGAGAATCCAAATACTGTCAAAGCAGATAGCATTGTATACATAATGACATGAATAAAATCTTAATAATGGGCTAAAATAACATTATTTGGGATGTACCAGGAAGCATGATAGAATATGAGCTAGTTTTCCTATTTTCTCGCTCATGGAGGGAATCTGGTTCCAAGAATTAATGGATCTCGTTTGTGTTGAAGTGATGCTCCATTTAAAAAAATTTTTATCCCCTGTTCTAGCTTCTAGGAAAAACGAAGTGGCCGCCATCCGGATAAAATTTCCGGGCAAAGTACCGGTACGTAAATGTGGATTTATCTATATATTTTGGATGTGTTGGCATATTCTGGGACGAGTATGTTAGCTTTCCCTTAGCTCCTGAGATTTAGTGGCGTGACCTACCGATTCAATTGATCTCTTCTAAATCACTGAACAAAATGAATATACAAGTGTAGTCAAAATACGTTGTCTATTTAGGATTTTAAAAATGCACATTTATCTTCTAGAACAGTTATTATAATAATAGCCAGGCTGGCTGACTAATGCTTGTTCATAAATATTTTTATGGTTTAGTCAAACATCAAGAGAGATCTGTGTTTATATACAAAAAGAATCCAAAACGATGATGCTTGACTGAAAATTGAACATTACAAACTACATGAGCTATTGTTGGCTCTTGGTTTAGATTTCCGTTCCACTTTGTGAAAAGCCATCCTTCAGCCCACCAGCTTCCTGACTGGCTTCCTTGGCTGAAGAGCTGGTTTATATACCCTCCAGCCAGACTCTCTGGCCAATCAGATTCCTTAATAGCCATCATTCCATATTTTCCCTCCAAACCAAGGGCCAATAGAAGATAACGGAATGTTCATTAGCTGTCCAATCAGAGTTGACCGACTTGGATCTCTCTGATCAATCTGGTGTTTCAAGGCCTCAGATCTTGTCTACGTCTCCTTGAAGAAGATAGTGTGTTTTTTTTCCTTCTCAGTTTTCTATTTAATTTTAGAAATAGGATAAATTTTGGAGGATCAGGAGGAGAAAATTTCTAATGGAATAAAAATGACCTATTATGCTGGTCAACTCTCTGTCCTTAGAGGTTCTAAAGCAGGTTCTGGATATGATCCAGGTCAGGATTTCCTCCACGGAGGAGTGGGGTGGGATGAGAGCCAGGGACTACAGATCCCAGAAGCCTTCAGCATGAGATGTGCTAGCTGGGGTTCATGGGATTAGTAGTCCAAGAACACCGGGGTGACCCAGGAGTTGGGAACCACTGGATCAGAGGAATGATGACGTTCCCTCCATCATGATGATTTTAACCTTGACTAGGAATAGGATCGGAATCATTCTCCGAAGCCTCCCCACAGACCCAGTGTTTTGACTGAAATAAGAGGGGAGGGTCCTGTTTTCCACGATGGAAAAAGTTCATAACTCACTCTAGGCCCATAAGGATGACAGAATTTGTTGGACTCCAACTCCCATTATCCCTCGCCTTTTAGGCTGACACAGCCTGATGGGTGTTGTAGTCTGACACCTGCAAGGCGGTAGTCGCCTGCCCTGATTTAAACCAAGTTTGCTTCCCTCACCCCTGCTGTTTGTCCACTCCCAGGTATCTCCTCCCTCTTTTCTGCTTTCCTCCTTGAACTCTCTTCAAAACCTGGATTTAATTCAGATTTTCTGGGGTGATCATGATTTTCCTGACCCTCAGCAACTACAATTTCCTAGAAGTGTTAGGTCGTGACCAGGGCCCCTGAAAACAATGACTCCATGCAAGAAAACCCTAATGATAGCCATTTAAAAACAAGATGCGCTAGACAAGTGGATATTAGGAATGAAACCAGAAAACCATTATTTTCCTGTAGAAAAGTGTTATACAGTAGGGCCGTAATAACCACGGGGACTCAGTGGTTTTTTTTTTTTCCCCTTTTACCATTCTAGCTTTCGATAATAAATCATCTTCCTTAGGCTGTACACCCAGTTTTCGTGGGTCACTCCAAAATTCTATGTTTAAATGAAGGGTGATTCAGGCCGCAGGGTCTTCTCAAAGCTGGCTCTTGTTTACTCGCAGGTCATCCTGGAGCGCTATTCCAAGGAGAAAATGTTGCCGGCCTTAAACAAGATCAAGTTTCTAGTCCCACAGGAACTCACCGTGGGACAGTTTGTCACGATTATCCGGTGAGCCTCAAGGATCGGGAGGGGTGGGGTGGGGGTTAATCTTGGTGTTTCAGTGACTTTGAAAAGGGGGAAAAAACACCGTAAATGATACCGCTGTCATAAAGAAAGATTTGCTTAGCGAGCAGAGATTATTTTGGGATGATCCCTAGCCATGCTACCTGGGTCTAATTGGAAATATAATCCCACAGAGGGGTCAGGACCAGATTCGGGAATCCTGGCGTATATTCGTTATTATTTGAAGGTGTGCAATCAACTTTTCAAAGTAGCATCCTTTCGAGTGGATCCGTTTTCCTGTTTCCTACAAGGCTCTTAACAGAAGCGGTGCTTGATCAGGAAATCAAAGCCACTGGGGGAATTTTTACGTGGCCGACCACAGCAAATTGTGATAGCTCTTGAGGTATATAGCAGGCAGCTACCCATGTCAAAAGGGGATGTGTGGACCGTTAATAAACAAAGTTAATAACACAATTAGTAGCACAGTGAGGAAACTCCCTCATAACTTGGAAGTACAGTAACAACTTTACCAGTAAGTATAGTTCACTGGTTTGGGAGTTCTTGCTTCCTGATGGACTGGGGTCAAGGGTCCCTTCAATTTATTTATTTATTTATTTATTTATTTATTTATTTATTTATTTATTTATTTATTTATTTATTTATTTAACTTATATGCCACCCAGTCTACCCAAAGGTCTCTGGGCGGCTTACAACAATGAAAACACAATAAAAAGATAAAACAATTAAAATACAATTAAAATATATACTCTAAAAATTGTGCTTAAGATTATGCTGATTAGTATTCCTTTTCAAAGTAACTCATACCTTTCCCATAAAGGTTTTAAAAGAAAGAATGTTACTCCTCACATTGACGCATTTATTCAAAAACTTAAACAGCTACGCTTGTAAATCAGGATTACTTTGCTTTAAAAAATGTGCTTTTTTAAAAAGCACACATTATAAGACAATAATCCCCACCAGTAACATTTTAAGAGTACAGTAGTGAGGAAATGTAATTATTATCGTCATCTTAGAACTGCAGAGGTGGAAGGGACCCTACGGATCCTCGAATCCAGCCCATTAGGGAAGTGCAGTGAGGAATCGAACTCACAACCTCTATTAAACTATCCTGTTACATTTTTAAAATTTGTTCTATTGTTATATTCCTTCTAAAAAGGAACAATATTGAAATGTCATTAACCTTAGTATGGTTTATAAATAAGAATAAACTTAGAAAGTCACAGTTGGAAGGGATACTATGGATCACCAAGTCCAGGGAGGCCCAGTGGGGGATTTCGAACTCCCAACCTCTGGCTGTGAGCTATACTTACAGGAAATGTTATTACTTCCAAGTTATGAGGGAGTTTCCTCACCACCATCTTGACTGGGTTAGCATTCCCAAAACCGAACCTCTCATGACAGGTGTCAGGGTTATAAACTGCAGGCAAAAGCAAAAAAATATTTTAAAAAAAAATAAAGATGACAATCGTGGCACCTTGAGGACTGGTATATTTTAAAGTGAGGTTTCTCACCTTAAGATGCCTGAAGAAGTGGACTTGTCCATGAAAGCTCACATTAAAATATAGCTGTTAATCTGCTGGCTAGCTCAGTGTTTTTTGTCGTCTTAAAATTTTTTAATGTTTAGTTTGTTTTTTCCGGGCACACAAGCGCGGAATTTTTATGGTTTAGTCAAACATCAAGAGAGATCTGTGTTTATATACAAAAAGAATCCAAAACGATGATGTTTGACTGAAAATTGAACATTACAAACTACATGAGCTATTGTTGGCTCTTGGTTTAGATTTCCGTTCCACTTTGTGAAAAGCTTCACCTTCTTCTCAGCTGCCACCACATACTCCCATCCTTCAGGCCACCAGCTTCCTGACTGGCTTCCTTGGCTGAAGAGCTGGTTTATATACCCTCCAGCCAGACTCTCCGGCCAATCAGATTCCTTAATAGCCATCATTCCATATTTTCCCTCCAAACCAAGGGCCAATAGAAGATAACGGAATGTTCATTAGCTGTCCAATCAGAGTTGACCGGCTTGGATTTTTTTTATGTATATAAAGGCTAGGAGTTCTTTTACTGCTAACGTGAGGATGAACTCTCACTGATCAATCTGGTGTTTTAAGCCCTTGAATCTTGTCTAAGTCTCCTTGAAGAATATAGCTGGGTTTTTTCCCCTCTCAGTTTTCTATTTAATTTTAGAAATAGGATATATTTTGAAGGATCAGGAGGAGAAAATTTCTAATGGAATAAAAATGACCTAGTATGCTGGTCAACTCTCTGTCCTTGGAGGTTCTAAAGCAGGTTCTGGATATGATCCAGGTCAGGATTTCCTCCACGGAGGAGTGGGGTGGGATGAGAGCCGGGGACTACACATCCCAGAAGCCTTCAGCACGAGATGTGCTAGCTGGGGTTCATGGGATTTGTAGTCCAAGAACACCGGGGTGACCCAGGAGTTGGAAACCACTGGATCAGAGGAACAATGACGTTCCCTCCATCATGATGATTTTAACCTTGACTAGGAATAGGATCGGAATCATTCTCCGAAGCCTCCCCACAGACCCAGTGTTTTGACTGAAATAAGAGGGGAGGGTCCTGTTTTCCACGATGGAAAAAGTTCATAACTCACTCTAGGCCCATAAGGATGACAGAATTTGTTGGACTCCAACTCCCATTATCCCTCGCCTTTTAGGCTGACACAGCCTGATGGGTGTTGTAGTCTGACACCTGCAAGGCGGTAGTCGCCTGCCCTGATTTAAACCAAGTTTGCTTCCCTCACCCCTGCTGTTTGTCCACTCCCAGGTATCTCCTCCCTCTTTTCTGCTTTCCTCCTTGAACTCTCTTCAAAACCTGGATTTAATTCAGATTTTCTGGGGTGATCATGATTTTCCTGACCCTCAGCAACTACAATTTCCTAGAAGTGTTAGGTCGTGACCAGGGCCCCTGAAAACAATGACTCCATGCAAGAAAACCCTAATGATAGCCATTTAAAAACAAGATGCGCTAGACAAGTGGACATTAGGAATAAAACCAGAAAAGTGGTATACAGTAGGGCCGTAATATCCAAGGGGGACTCAGTGGTGTTTTTTTCCCCTTTTGCCACTCTAGCTTTCGATAATAAATCATCTTCCTTAGGCTGTACACCCAGTTTTCGTGGGTCGCTCCAAAATTCTATGTTTAAATGAAGGGTGATTCAGGCTGCTGGGTCTTCTCAAAACTGGCTCTCGTTTACTCGCAGGTCATCCTGGAGCGCTATTCCAAGGAGAAAATGTTGCCGGCCTTAAACAAGATCAAGTTTCTAGTCCCACAGGAACTCACCGTGGGACAGTTTGTCACGATTATCCGGTGAGCCTCAAGGATCGGGAGGGGTGGGGTGGGGGTTAATCTTGGTGTTTCAGTGACTTTGAAAAGGGGGAAAAAACACCGTAAATGATACCGCTGTCATAAAGAAAGATTTGCTTAGCGAGCAGAGATTATTTTGGGATGATCCCTAGCCATGCTACCTGGGTCTAATTGGAAATATAATCCCACAGAGGGGTCAGGACCAGATT